ATGTCGCTCGATTGAGTATCGAGCTGAGCTAAGTAGGTATTATCTAGTACTAAGTAAAGGCCTTTGATGCCAAAGTCCATTGAAACCAGCCCGTTTGAAGGAGATACAGTAGAAATATATTATGCAAAATAAGAATTCAAAATACTATAAAGCAACTCTTTCGTAACGAAGGAAGATGTAGCACAAACTTATTAACTTGTCAACAGCTTCATGAGAAGGAAACCACCAAATATGCATTTTCAAATAATTTGACACTTAAATTGATGCGTCGAGGTGTCATTACAACATGTTTCATCACATCAATCTTTCAAGCATCCGTCGAAACATGTAAAAATGTAACAGAGGAAATGGCGAATAAACGGCAAGGCGCCATTATTCGGTCGAATAGAGATAGTTCCACAACGTGGTCAGTATTGCTTTACAACGAATAAATAGCTGGTTAAATCTAGACGTTACTGACAGTTTAGGTCCATACTTAAACGGTTATTACATTTTTTTTGCTTGGTAGAATGCAATTTTGGTGGATGAGGTAATTTTTAGCATTTGACGTTGCACTTCACAACCATCAAATGTCTGAAATAAAGGTTTTTTCATGAGCATAGCTTATACAAGCAAAGGGGCACTGCCTGGCCGGTGAGCAAATTTTCATTGACGAAAATCTACTAGAATTCACATCAAAATAAGAAGAACTAGCCCACTATTGGAGCTATGTCAAGACCATTCAAGTTACACAACATTTTTATCCACTAGCCTACAAAATTAACGACGTTTCTTTCCATTTGCGTTTACTGTGCATAATTTTATATTTTCTGTCAAATTTTCTCGTCACAATTTTACACAGCTCGATTACCGTTGTCAAGAGGGCACCGTAAAGTTGTCTTTCCTATGATTTAACGCTGAACGTGATTGTATCATATCGCATAATAGCCAACGGAATACTGTCACTTTCTTTTTGGGCGTACTACTTTGTTGAGCGTCGAATCAAGTGTGCGTAACGAACACGAAAAACCGATTAAAAACGCGGTCAAGTATTAAATGAGGATCAAAATACGGTAGATTGTGTTTTCGAAAATTTAAGTTCAAGTTTCTGATGACTTTTGAAAGCCTACTGAAAAAATTATTAGAGACGACGCATTGTGTAGTTAGTAGGTAAATAAAAGTATTTTCATGCGGGAATAGGAATCTATACGCACTTAGACTACCTCCCGACTCTATCATCAGACCAGTACCATAATATTGCATTGTCATCGTACATACTCGTACATCAAAGTCAAAGTCAAAATTTCTTTATTTGTTTAGACTAATAAATAGTTCTTACAAATCGTCATTTTGCTCTTAAGGAGCCTCTACATATTGTCTCATAATCTTTTTACCCTACCAGCGCTTCGAGACCAACATTTGGCAAGTGCTGAGAAGAAGCGTCGCAACAAACTCAGTCACCACTGTCTGCCGGTTAATATAAATAAATAGAAATAGCAGTAGAAGGTACATTCGATTCAGGAGCAGTTCACTGAATTTACCATGCATTTTTGTTTAGTGTATCTTAAAAGAATGGGTATACAAAATTGCGTGGTATATTAAACAAGGTAGTGACGTGCTCATATCTAGACTTACAGATTAAGATACTAGTAGCAATGACTCGCATACATAAATTGGAATAACTTGGATTGACCAGTCCCTGAAAGCAGCGCCTGTTCACACTCGACCATATTAGAGGGAATGTAACGACCCGCCTACATACTTACATAGGTAAGTATACCAAATTACAGCTCGATCGGTTGAGGAGAACTGGTCTTAAATTCAGTTGTAAGATTTGTCCCATACATACTAACAAAGTGAAGTCAATATAAAGCTTGAAATAATAACAGGTATTCCTCAAAGTGCACTCATTTTCAAGTAAACCTAATGAAGGGCACCTAAACTATTCCACAAAGCGAACCTTTTGAATTTATTTGGATTTCATTAGCGCAATAAATAGGAGCACTTCAAAAAATGGCTCTTAAAAATGGGTGCGAGCCATACCTCAAAAAACAATTAAAAATTATTAAAATTAATTCAATATCACGGATGAGTAAGGTCATCAAATTTCCAACCAGACTGAGTGTCACGGATTCCGGCATTAAACCAATTAATTACAAATAGATAACTTTTTCCTCAATACTTAATTTACAATGAGTTCACTGGTTGTTACTAGGCCGATGTGGGAATTTAGTAGCCAGTGACTTACTGTGGTCAATATAATTTAAATTGATAGATGATTTACTCATCTTTTAATGACCAATTGAATTGTGACAGATATGTTCCTTTTATGGGAATAAAATTTTATGAGATGATGCTTCAAAATGCTTAACTTTATCACGACTTTGGGTCTTTTGAAACTATGATATTTTATAAACTCTACATTACAGTTTTACAGTTATTATGAATATTATTGTCAGACCTTTTTCTATATAGTACTGAAACCATCTAGTTCAGATTTATATTGCTTTTTTAATCTACACCAATATTATAAAGAGTAAATATTTGATTTTTTGTTTGTTTGTATATAGGCTTCGAAATTAATTTGAAAAAAAAAAAAAAAAAAGAAATTCACCATTTAGAATTCTAAATTATTTCTGACAAACATAAACGGTACGAAGTTCGCGGGGTCAGCTATTAGTTACAAAAGCGTTGCATCTGCTTAGTTATGTGAAAAAGATATCAGAAATACAGACGCCCTAATGACCATCAAGTCTCAATCAAACCTATGGTATCTCATTCCATACTCACAACAGAAGATAAATGCTATGCCACCAGTCGACCCACATTTACAAAGCATCCGTAAAATCGTTTTGGCACACCCAAGTGTGTTCACGGAATCCATTCGAACTGTGACTCCACTTGACGTGTGGCCACTAAATATTATGCAGATTTTAGAAGCTCATTTTAAATGTGTACATGTGTTTGTTGCAGATGTGACATTGGCATTTTTTGTTTTAGGTCATGTTACAAAAGTGTCTAAGTTTTATTAAATGGGATTCAGATTGGTGCTTAATATTAATTAAAACTTAAATGCATAGTCAAGTGGTTAAAAAGAGAAAGATGCATTTATTGTACGATACTCATTAGCATTGTGACGCAAAATTATCTACAAAAAGCTTTGGGTTGTCAATAGATATTTCCTTTTTGCTAAAGGTACCTATGTAGGTACTTATTGCATTAAAATAGTTTGATGTGCTGTAAACTCTACAAATCTAAAATGATACAACTGACCTAAATAGGTTATAAATAATAGTATTTACTACAAAATAAAATGTACCTATCTGTGCTTTTTTATGGTGTTGTTTTACAATGGTCGCTGTTTTCATGGCCCGAGCAGGCGGAAAGAGCATGCAATGTCGTCACCGGCGCGCGCGCAGAGACTTTCGCTTTTCACTGCCAAGGCTTAAGATGCGCCGTCTTGTTTATGTTTTAATTAACTATTCTTTTACCTCACTTTTCTGATTGAAAACTCATTTTGATTCTGCCTCCGTGTCTAATAGGGAATTCTAGTTTCAATTTCTAGTTTGTTTTAATTGTTGAATTGATTCTTCAGAGAGCCGTTGGGTTAAACGGTCAATATAAAATATGGGTAATAATGAGAATTTATATCGTCTAAATGATTGCACGAAATATAAAACCAAATAATATTTGAGAGAGGCATTTTAATAATTTCATAATGGTCAAAATAATAAATAGAGCGGAAAATTTAAGTATCTTATAAATTAAACTTTTCAGACATTTTAATTTACTCGTGGTTTTTTATCCCAATTAACTTGATAGGTAGATAATGTCTGTGAAACCCGATAATTTGAATTTATGTAGAGATAAATCTGGATTATTAAATTTAATAGACTGAGGTCAATAAATAGTTTATTATACATAAATAAATAACATATTGTTATTAGGTATGTATTACAAAAACTGTACATCCTAGACTGCATCTCACTTAACACCAGGTGCGATTACGGTCAAATACCTGCCTTGTCTAGCATAAAAAAAAACAACTTGTAATTTAATTGAACGCCAAAAAGGTTACTGTTAATAAAAATAAATTATTTATTGTTGTTTTTAATCATGATATAAATTGCGTAGCATTTCACTTTAGCGTAACTTTGTATGACTCAAGTTACTTAATAAATTGGTTGCGTTGCTTGGTTGAGAACAGGATTTAAAAAGTACTCATAAACTTTCCAGTTCAAAAAGAAATATAAAAGGAGAAGGATAGGTACTTTTATCAACAACAATATTAATAAATAAACATCCATATCTCACTGTATAGATTTAAAAAAAGGTAATCTAAAAACTATGTGCGTTAAGGAGTGTTTCGGTCATAGCAATTTATTTATTAGTTACCGATGACAAAATCAGAGTTAAAGCTGATAAATTATGTCTGCAATTAAAGACGCGAGAATGTTTTTAATTTTAATTTTTAAGAAAATAATAAGTATTGGTATGAGACAGTCAAAACAGAAGATGATTTTAACTTAACACTCTACATTCTGATAAAATCTTGATGCCTTCAAATTCCATTCAACATTTGGCTAGTATTTGCATTGGTAGTTTTTGCCAGGTAAGATCCTGGCATTTTGTGTTTGAAATAGACTCGATTTCCCAATTAAAATGTAAGTCAGATATGCAGGCGACATTTGGCGGAGGTTATTTGGTTACAGAATAACGCCCGCGACTTTGTACGAGTACCCCTTAGGGGTTGAATTTTGCAAAATCCCGTCTCAGTAAGCATCTACTTTCTAAAAGGAACCATGCAAAATTTGAGATTTCTAGCACTTGTAGTTTGAGATTTTGTGATGAGTGAGTCAGTCAATCAGTGACCTTTCGCTTTTATAGGTATCATCATCATCATCATCATCATTTCAGCCACGTCCACTGCAGAACATAGGCCTCCCATAGAACATAGGTTTATAGGTGTAGATTTTGTAATAAGAACATGCTTATTCTCACCTACTCCTCTTCATCCCCAGGTGTGGCTCAGCCTGGCGTGTCTAGCCACGTCAATGGCCGCGCCAGCGATCCAGCCCTACCCGCTCAAGCTGGACATCATCGACATGGCCGCCATCAGCAGAATGACGCCGCAGCAGCTGGAGTCTCTCGCTGAGGGGCTGGCTGCGGCAGAAATCATGAGGTAAGGGATCTGTGTGAAGTTGCAAGAGGTCTTAAAGATACTCTGTTTATAAAGACTACTGACGACTACTAAAGAGTACTGATGACGCCGCAGCAGCTGGAATCTCTCGCTGAGGGGCTGGCTGCGGCAGAAATCATGAGGTAAAGGATCTGGTGTGAAAGTTTAAGAGGTCAGTTCTCTCTCGTTTCAGCCAAATGACGTCCACAGCTGGACAAAGGCCTTCCCCAAAGATTTCCATAACGACCGGTAATATACTACCCGCATCCAGATACTACCCACCACCTTCACCAGATCCTCGGTCCACCTAGTGGGGGGCCTGCCCACACTACGACTTCCAGAAATTTCTCCCCCAGCGGCCATCAGTTTTACGAGCTATGTGCCAAGCCCCGCTTACTACCACTTGATGAAATCAAGAGGTTGGTTATAGATACAGTATCATAAAGAGTCATATCCGCTCAAGCTGGACATCATCGACATGGCCGCCATCAGCAGAATGACGCCGCAGCAGCTGGAGTCTCTCGCTGAAGGGCCTGCGGCAGAAATTATGAGGTAAAGGATCTGTGTGAAGTTGCAAGAAGTCTCAAAGATACTCTGTTTCTAAAGACTGACGACTACTGAAGACTACTAAAGACTACTGACGACTACTGAAGACTACTAAAGACTACTGATGACGCCGCAGCAGCTGGAGTCTCTCGGCGAGGGGCTGGCTGCGGCAGAAATTATGAGGTAAAGGATCTATGTGAAGTTGCAAGAGGTCTCAAAGATACTCTATTTATAAAGACTGACGACTACTGAAGACTACTAAAGACTACTGACGACTACTGAAGACTACTAAAGACTACTGATGACGCCGCAGCAGCTGGAGTCTCTCGGCGAGGGGCTGGCTGCGGCAGAAATTATGAGGTAAAGGATCTGGTGTGAAAGTTTAAGAGGTCAGTTCTCTCTCGTTTCAGCCAAATGACGTCCACAGCTGGACAAAGGCCTTCCCCAAAGATTTCCATAATGACCGGTAATATACTACCCGCATCCAGATACTACCCACCACCTTCACCAGATCCTCGGTCCACCTAGTGGATGGCCTGCCCACACTACAACTTCCAGAAATTTCTCCCCCAGCGGCCATCAGCTCTACGAGCTATGTGCCCCGCCCCGCCCACTGCCACTTGATTTCACAGAGGTTATATCCGCGTAGTCTCTCGCTGAAGGGCTGGCAGCGGCAGAAATCATGTGGTAAGGGATCTGTGTGAAGTTGCAAGAGGTCTCAAAGATACTCTATTTATAAAGACTTCTGACGACTACTAAAGACTACTGATGACGCCTCAGCAGCTGGAGTCTCTCGCTGAAGGGCTGTCTGCGGCAAAAATTATGAGGTAAAGGATCTGTGTGAAGTTGCAAGAGGTCTCAAAGATAGTCTGTTTATAAAGACTATTGACGACTACTGAAGACTACTAAAGATTACTGATGACACCGCAGCAGACGGAGTCTCTCGCTGAAGGGCTGGCTGCAGCAGAAATTATGAGGTAAAGGATCTGGTGTGAAGTTTTAAGAGACGTGTTATAGGTACAATATGCATAAAATCCATCAGCCTATGCACAGAAAGAAAAACGGTAATTGTGTTGTAGAACAACAACTTGTTGTATTGGATCAACATCGAATTTTTAAAAAATAATTTCACGTCTCCATACCTCATACCTACTAATTGTAAGGGCTATAGTTTGTTATTAGACATAATAGTTGTTGTTTTGGTGATCGATGTTGGTCGCTTATAAAAGTTGTTGAAAGTGATTGAGCTTTAACGAAACATGATTAAGATTCCATAAATTTTAATATAAATCACTTCCCTCTTTCATCGTTCCACACCTTTAATTCTGTATTACATCAGTTGAATCAAAAATAATTTTGAAGAATATAATGTTACGTATGACTGGATGCGGGCAGCGCATGACCGTTCATTGTGGAAAACCTTGGGGGAGGCCTTTGTCCAGCAGTGGACGTCATTTGGCTGAAACGAACGAACGAACGATAATGTTACGTAACTCACTGATCGTAATGAATATGTACAGGGTGGCCCAGAAGAAAATTTACTTTTGAAAATTCAAGAAAACGAAAACTGTACATATTTGTAGTACTTTAACTATTGCAATTTAAAGGAAATTTAATGAAATTTATTTTAAAATTCACTTTCTTTTATAAATTTGATCGCACATGTGATTCCCTTGACGTTTACAACATTCGGTCAACATACATCAAAATTTTGGAAAACTTTCATTAATGTTACCTCGAAATGGATTCAGGATGGATGAATGCTGCAGAGTTTTTGCATTATTAGAGTATACTCTGCTCATAAGGTAACCCCACAAAAAGAAGTCTGCTGGAATGAGATTAGCGCTTCTTAGAGGCAGTGAGATTTCACCCCTGCTTAATTGATTTGTTGCATTGAAAGGATGATTAATTTTTGAGAGCGCTATAGGTACCTACTGGTAGGCTGAAAAGCTTTTTGATTTCAAATCTGCAAGATTCGCAAGGCTATGACAGGAGCTCTTGGTTTCATCAAGATGGGGCTACGTGTCACACTTCAAATGAGAGCATTTAGATGATAAGAGACATGTTCCAACAAAAAAATAATTTCAGGCAGGGGTGACATCTCCTGGCCACCAGGAAGCCCTGATCTCATTCTAGAAAATTCTGTTTTGTTGTGTTACCTTAAGAATAGAGTATACTTTTATAATCCAACAACCATACAGCAACTGAAGCTGAACATTCGGCAAAAAATTTAAAATAGGTTTCGAGGTAATTCTAACGAACGCATTTCAAGATTTTGATGTATGTTGATCGAATGTTGTAAGCATCAAGGAAATCTCCTGGGCCATGTAATTTAATAAAGGTAAAATTAAAAATAAATTGCATTAAATTTCCTTTAAATTGAATAGTTAAAGTTCTACAAAAATGTACAGTTTTCGTTTCCTTGAATTTGCAAAAGTGAACTTTCTTCTGGGCCATCCTGTACTTAACTGTCATAAAAATTCTGCAGTAGGTGTTATGACAATTTTATGAAAGAACCAAATAAAGTTTCGCTCGCCTGCATAAAATAAATGTAAATGTTGCATAATATCCTTGAGAATATGAAGATGCAATATGATCCTCAAATTTCAGTAACGTTTTCTTCTTCGCAGAACAAAGCGGTCGTCAGCGCAAGCCCTCACTTCTGTGATGTCCAAGGCATCCTCTGGACTCCAGAGCAAGGTGGGCCTGCTGGGCCAGGCGTCAGCAGGCGCCGCTACCCTCATCGCGTCCGCTTCGAGCAAATCAGGGGGGCATTCCGAACACCCTGGTTATTCATATGAACCAGTAAGTTTTTCCAACTATTCATTAGCATCATTTCAGCCACAGGACGACCACTGCTGAACATAGGCCTCCCCCAATGATTTCCACATCGACCGGTTGGTAGCGGCCTACATCCAACGCCAGCTACCTTTATGAGGTCGTCGATCCACCTTGTGGGTAGACGTCGTACGCTGTTTTACGGTACGGATTAGAACTATCATTTTCTTATGATTAATTTAATTGCGGGTCCAATGACTGTTTAACTTTCTCACGGGACAAACTTGGCCTTCACTGGTTGGATTTTCATTGGCGGGCAAGCTGTAGATCCTGGCTACACAGGAGTTGCAGCGATGGGAACGGGAACGATTAGTGCAACACTTCACAAGTCTGTGGTGCTCGAAGCAAACAAACGTTGCTACCCTCGTCACGCCCATCATCATCAGTCAGTATCTAGAAATCAATTAAGGGGCATACAGTGAAACTGTGGACCATTTGCACCCGCAGTTTCATGTCCCTCTATAAAGTTAGGACATTCAGACCCCTCATTATTATTAGTATGAACTGGTAAGTGCTTAACGCTCGTATTCACAAACGATGCTTGCTTAAGTGAAGCAAAGCATCGAACGCACAGCGTTGAATAGAGCTCTGTGATTGGTTCGTATGTCACCCTGTGCGTCCTAACGCACTGTGAAACCTCATAGTAACGTTTGTGAATACGGGCGTAAGTATGTCACAATCACCGTTTTCTTCCATGGTGTCAAACAATGACAAGTTGAGAAGTGACCACAACAGATTTACAATACAGATTGTGAAAACGTAAGGTGTTGTGGAATTTCCTCGCTGTTTATACTTACAATAGATTTCAGGTATTCATTTGCACATAGGTACATAGCCATGAAAAAAATTGTACTACGTTGTTAACCATTTAGACCCAAACCATGACACAAACTTGACTCATCTTTGTAATAATCAATCTTGATTTCTATTCTTATTTAGTTTAGACCAAGACGCAGTTTGCTAAACTCCTTTTCTTATTTTCAGCACGACGAAAAATACGACTACTGGGGTCTAAAGAAGTCGATTCTTTACACCCTGTTTCAAGCCGTGAAGGCAATCACCGGAGGAGTGACCATCCTCAAGGGCCAGCTCATCAAAGGAGGAGGAGCGCTGGCCTCCACATTAGGGAAGGTGATCGCAGTGAAAGGAGACGCTGTCAGCAATCTAGGAAAGAAGATCGTTAGCTCAGCCGCTTTAAGTTCTAAGAAACCTATTTGTGAGTATTCAGTTTTTACCACGCTTTTATTAGGTCGTCATGTATGTAGGTAACTACCAAACTTTGGTATCATACGCAGCCGAAGGGGGTAACTACTATGTAATAGAATCTAAGAATCTGAATTACACGCATTTCCAATTCTTGTATCATCATGAAACTTGACAATTACATGTAGATTAGATGATAATACAATATTATGGTACCATCGAGTTTGTGTTCATCGATTTGTGTTTTCGAACACTTTAGTGCTAGATGAGTAATTAAATGCGTGTTTTTAGTTTTTTTTAACTATTAATTTATTTTAATGCTTTAATGGTTAAGCAACGAAAGGAGCCGAATTTTCTGCGTGCGTTTGTGCTCTACAAATCCCAAGTTCCTTTTGGGCAAGCTGGATGACTATATCATACCTACAGATAGTATTTGTTTGGTTACGTTACGTTATTACGTCTTCAACATAAGACTACTTATTCTATTATAAAAATAAGATTAATAAGATTCAATTTGTATTATCAAATATGCAATTTCAAATCGCAATCGCTTATTTTGTATTTCAAGTACTTAAATGTGATGAAGTTCAGTTTAAAATTCATTAAAATGGGCACATATTTGTTCAGTCATAATTTGCTCTATTTAAAATTCACATTCATCGAATCTCACGGGGAAACAGTTTTCACAATCAAGTAATACAAGTCCCACATTGATACAAAATATTTCTGCTTGCCTGGCCGTTATACAACCGCCTGACCAGTAAAGCGTAAAGCTTTAAAATACTCCAGTATAATAGCTGAATTACAATCTAAGAATAAGATTCGAACAATATTTATTTTCATCATTTTGTTTCTTAATTTAATTTTGCGAACTTTTTTTTTGTTTGATTGGTGAATCAAGATTTATAAAAGCATTTTGAACGAAAGCTACTGAAACGTGAAATAGGTACGTGTTTAAAAATATTTCAAGTACGAGTATGTTCATGTCGCTATGGTGACGTCCAAGTAGGTCCAGGTAGGTGAACTTTATTGCTCGTTATATCTACCATTATTCTACCATAATATCAGTTTAAATGCATTTATATGCAAGAACACGTAGAATAAATAATTCTTTTAGAGGCACCTTGACCAGCACCATGAGTGACACTAAAATTACCATAGATATTGTGTATTGCTTCATAAAGATTTTATAGTATGGGGGTTGTACACCTTAGGTTTATATTGCTATTTCCTCAATAATCTTTTAGAAAACAACGTCTTCTAAAACTGATTGACCATTGTTTCAATATGTTGTTTTGTTTGATTTAATAGCATGTGAAAATCAGAAACTGCTCGAAAAATTGTGATCAAAGAAAATTGCCTTAAGCTGGTTAAAGTGGAAATATTCCTAGCAGCGTTCCTGAAATTCCCGATCAGTGGGATAACCCACTACTAGACTATTGGGAACATTTAATTTACGTACGTAGCGTTTTGCCAGCTCTTATAGCTGCCAAAACGCAACTTTGCCATAGCTTTTGGAATCGATTGGAATAAGGGAAACCGCATTATGACGTCACAATTTGCGAAATCAACTATTTATTTTATTGATTTCAAAGCTACTGAAAATCGAATTGTACAATGAAAAGTAACTCGCTTTTAAGAGTAGATTGAAGTGTATTTTTAACACACTTTTATTAGGAATCTATGAAACTGAATTACACGCACTTCTAATTCTTGTATCATCATGAAACTTGGTAATTATAAGTAGATTAGATGACAATACAATATTAAGGTACCATCGAGCTGGTCTGATGTTGGGACTAGATGGTGGCCATAGGAACTCCTAAACGAAACGGTAGAATCGCATCGAGTATGGGTTCGTTGATTTGTCTTTTCGAGCACTTTAGAGCTAGATGATGTTCAGGGTCCTGATGATGCAGTCGGAAGGTGGCCATAGGAACTCAACTAAGAGCGTGTTTTTAGTTTTTTGCGCGCGTCCCTGTTTCAAAAACCGGGCTAAAAACTATCCTATGTCCTTTCCCGGGACTCAAACTATCTATATGCCAAATTTCATCAAAACGGCTCAGTAGTTTAGGCTTGAAAGTAAGACAGACAGACAGACAGAGATACTTTCGCATTTATAATATTAGTATAGATACCTTATTCTTCAAACTATAAAATGCCTTTTCCCCTGAATTCCAGCGACCCCAGTATATGGCCCGCCGCCATCCCACGTGGAGTACGGTCCTCCACCGAGCGCGTACGGCGCGCCCACTGCGCCGGCGCACTACTCGCATACGGCGCCGTCTGCGCCCACCGGGTATGGACACAAGTATCCCGCGCATTTGGACGGTAAGTTACCAACAAAATGTAGGTAGTATTATTAGAAATAATGGAGATTGTCAAGTGGCTGACAAAAGATGGCTCAGCGACTTAGAGCCAAAGCACACGATGCGTTGCGGCGGCATGCAGTGCGACGCCAGAGCGATGTCGCTGCGTCGTCTTACATAGAAATACCTGTGGCGGGCACTCAACGCATCGTGTGCTTGGCTCAAGTCCGATAAGATAGATAAGTTACAAATTATGGAAATGTTTGATGTTATACAGCTCCTGTATTTAAAGGAAAAGGGATAGGTACGGTTGGGAACATTTTTGACTACCTACCACAACTTTTTCAGTGATATCAGTGAAAAAGAAAAATGAAGTTCATGATTACGAGACTACCTTAGTCACTTCGCCTTAAATTGATGTTCATATAACACAACCTAGCCTATACAATTTCTAACGGAAGTAGCGATTCCATTTGCCAAACTTTGTTTGTTATCATTATTACAATGTCATGGATCGACTGTAATGACATTATTTTACGCGTCATAAAACATTTGGTCGAACAAGAACAAAAGTAAACATGGCCGCACATTAGGTCGCCAATGGCAACCACAAGTAGCCAACGAAATTTTAAACTATAGGTTTAGCGCATTTACTCAGTAAGTGCCTGAGGTATGCGGCATGGTAGGGTGTTTTTGGGACGTCAATCGTCAGCGAGACTTAAAAAAAAGATTCATATTTGTATGCTCTGTCACGTCATAATATGTCAATGTCACCCATCCCGTGCACTCTCATACCTCAGGAACTGACTCCGTGTGCTAGACTATAATCAGATTAAACAAGCAAACAAGTGCGTTATATTATCACTTAAATAAAATTCCTAATCCAGACCGAGATTCCTTCTTTTCTGGATTCAGATGGGAAGCAGTGCGTTCGAGTAGTCCAATCTAAACCTTTGAGAAAAGTGCCGTTTGAAAACATAGATGTAGTTTTAGATACAAGTAGGGTCATTATAATCCCTATAGCTCTATTATTTTATTTTGCGTTTGATGCATTAATTTTTGCTTGTGGCTCAAGGAAAGTATTCCATAGTTTAAGCCGCGGACAGTATAAATCCGTGGTAGCAACTAGTGGCCAAGTGTGTGGCTCTGAATTATTTACAGTGGGCTACTGTTTTTACGTAACCCCGCAAGGTAACAAACTGGAAAGAACGCCGGCAATAGATAGGCGTGCGTCGCGTTTGTTACGCAATCTTTCGTTACACTTTTGACAAAGCGTTAACGAGTACGTTTGAGTAAAGTTTGTGTGCCGTAAAAAAGGAATTCATTAATCACCATTTAGGCAGGATGACATAAATAAAGTTTACCAAGGCTACCTATTTAATATACTTGAGCAATATTAGCAATAATCGGTAATTTTGGCTGTTTTATGATGAAAAATAATGACTTTTCATTGCCTAAACACACAAAGCTAACGACTTTCGAAATGTTTCCTATTTAAGCAAAACATATCCACAAATTAGATAGTTACCTATTGCACGCTATTTTATCATTTTTCTTTTGTTCTTTATTCCAAGAAAATACTGCCCATATTATAATGCTTACTGGTTTTTTATGTAGACATAAGTGCCAATTGTTACAACATCAAAAACAAAAGAACAACTATTCAGCATGAATATTTATAACGCTATGTAACATTTGTGACTCGTTACCAAAAGTGTTACAAGAGGTCACGTGATGTAACGCGCGGTCAAAGTTCCGACGCACCGGAACTGAGCTTACTCACCCACTTATAGTCAGCTTATGTACAGTCGAGTGTAAAAAAAATGTTTTTACTATTATTAAAACTATGATCTGATTAATTTCGTTGCGGGTCTAATGACAGTTTAACTTTCCCCGGGACAAACTTGACCTTCACTGGTTGGGTTTTTAATGGCGGTCAAGCTGTAGATCCTGACTACACAGGAGTTGCAGCGGTGGGAAAGAGAGGTGGGAATAGTCCCGTATTAAAGATAAAGATAAAGATAAAGATATTTATTTACATAAACATGTGTGAAAACATATTACAAAGCAACATGATTTGGTCTTACAGTTTTAACAGGTGATAGGTACAACATGTTTTACCAAGATATTGGCATGTAAATGATATGTCAAGTAAGAATGTCAAATAATACATTAAAATTCATAATAACAATAGGTACATCTGATAATTGATAATAAAAGAAAAATTAAAATTAAAATTAGTCAAATTTTGTCACTCAAGAAGTCTTGTACAGTATAATAGGCCTTGTCAATTAGAAAATGTTTAAGTTTCTTTTTAAACATAACATTAACTATGTAATTGTTTCAAGTTTTCTGGGATTTTATTATATATTTTTGGTGCCATACAGATAATACTTTTATTTAATAATGTGGTTTTGGCCAAATGTAAGCAAAGACGGTCCCCACCGCGGCGATTACGTACAATTACATCAGACATTCGAGGAAATAGATGGGGATTGCTTTTAACAAATAAGGCTGTTTCAATGATGTACAGAGACGGAAGTGTCAGAATCTTATGCTTAACAAACATTGGTTTACAGCTATCAGTACCTCTAGTACGAAAAACTTTCGAGTTCGTTTCGTTGCGTATAAAAATTTTTCATACAAAATTTTTCGATGACACTTTGAATACGCAACGAAACGAACTCGAAAGTTTTTCCTACTAGAGGTACAGTGATTTGAAGTCCAAACATAGCGCGTAGGCATCGTTTTTGAATTTTAAATATTATTTCCTTGTTGGTCGAGTTACCCCAAAAAATTATGCCGTATCTTAAATGAGATTCGACTAACCCTAAACTAAATTATTATTATAACTTGTAGAGTTGCAAATTGTATACTCTACATTAAACTTATCTGACAATTATTGGAAAATTGGTCCTTTACTTAATTTATGATCCCACTCTTTTTTACCTTTCTTATAATTAGGTAATCTTTTTACTCTCAAGACACTATTCATGAATCTCTGAATCATGAATTTCTATAACACAAAACCTGTTGATAAAATTTTGTATTAAGTGAAGCAGTTTTGTCAAGATTACAATGGGTCAAGACCGTGTTTATTTAAATTACTATTTAGTAAGCCTTTTCTCACGAAATGTTTGCTTCGGGAAAATCGAAAAGTGTGCGAAAGCGAATATCCTGGTAAAGAATAGAACTTGACAAATAAATAATGTAAGATGACCTTTATGAGCTTTAGTAAACGCTATTTAAGCTTGCATAACATTTCCGTTTCAATACTTGAGTAAATACAACATTTTGTGTTAACACCTCATAATTTCAATGTTCCAGGTACCTATGAGGCATAAAAAACTAATAGATGTATCTTTATCATACTTTGCTTGATTTAGTCGCAACAGTTAAGGCTGTATAAATTACTTATGATGCTAAGATTGTTTGTTCGTTTTATTACGTTGTAAGCCAAATGCATTATTGCTAAGTACTGTTATTTAGATTTTTTTTACAAATAATAGTATTATTATTTAACGGAAACTATAATTCCCGTTAATTATAAAATACTATTGTAAAACTGTATAATTCTTATTCAGGTCAAATTAGTTAAAAGACCTTGTTTGTGTCGTTGTACAAAAATCATATCAGTAGGACTGGCCTAAGCAACATTTTTTATATTGGGCAAATCATATAAGGCCGTGAGAATTTTTTAGAAACCTCTTTTTAATTAACCAAGGTCTTTCTAAATAGTTTTTGTCCATTTAATTGAAAAGCCGAATTTTTCGATAAAGTAAAAAAGTAAAATAATACTCGTAGTAGAAAAAGAAAACATAAAAGTAGAGTCCCTTCGTAAACAATAGCTTTTCCCTTTAAGTCATTATCCAATCCACGTACCAAATTGTTCAACAAACTTATTGTATTGTAAAATAATGATGATTGATGCGTGTACTTCAACGTAATGATAGTGATGACTGAGTTACGTCACAATCTGTAAATTGAATTGTTTGGAACCAGCAATTTGATGTTAGTTGATCTACAATTTGTTAGTTACCACTTTCTTAGCATGGGTTACCTTATGATTCTTTATGTGAAGAAGTAGGTCATCATAATCATCATCTCAGCCATAGGACGTCCACTGCTGAGCATAGGCCTCCCCCAATGCTATCTATGTTGCCCGGTTGGTAGCGGCCTGCGTCCAGTGTCTTCCTGCTACTTTTGCGATGTCGTCGGTCCACCTTGTAGGTGAAGAAATAGGTCAAGACCAAATTATTAGGTACTGTCCTATTTTACTATCAAAAGGATCCACAGAGCCAAATAATATGGTATTCCAATAAATCGACAAAACGGCCTTCTGACACCCTGATGGGAAAATAAATTCTACAATTTCTAAGTAGCTCAGAAGGTGAGAGCAGTAGCCAGCAAGCGAAAGGTCATGGTTTCGATTCCTATGGCAATTCGATTTTTCAAGTTATTTAAAATTTAGAAATTCTAGAAATTGAGAGAGTTGTTGTATTTTTTCCAAATGCTTATTCATATATATTAATGTTTTATTTTCCAGAAGCTATAGTGATGTCGGCAATAGTCAAGGGGGTCTACCCAGACCCGGATCCTCCGTTTCCATCAAGCGAACTATTGGAACGATATTATGATTTAGTGAATGCGCTCTGGTAAGAGGGATTGATAGCCCAAAACGTCTTCTCTCTTGATTTCAATATCAATCTCTTTCAATCCATCTTTAGAAGAATCTGATTGTTGTATTTCATTTGAAGACATTCCTTTTCAAACTTTTCTATGCATGAATTTGTAGCCTCTACTATTTGTATACTGTATAGTTCAGTCTTAAAAATATTTCTCCCGCAGTTTACCTCTACAAGTACCTATACTTGTATTTAGTCTTTCTTTACTCGTTCTGCTACCACTAATGCGTCTTCATTATAGCATTTGCTATTTTATTTAGTTAGTCGAAATTCTGTGGACCTATCTCTTCTTGACGCTTCAATGTGTTTTTCAATGTGTCTTATATTACTTTGTCTC